TGGGTAAACCTTTTCTGAAATCTTTTCGATACAGGTAATGTATATTTTCTTAAATCACACAATATCACCGACTTATATTCGAACTGCACAGTAATATATATCACTAATATCATAAAGAATGGAAGGTAATATTTTCTGAAACAAATTAATTAAGGCTTAAACATATCGGATGCATCGAATCAGACAGTACAACACTATCGGTATAGAATCAATTTGAGAGCATCGTATGCGACTCGAACAAGCTCGATACAGGAGGCTTTGATAAAGGAAATCGTGTGGTTTAATGTATAAGAGATGTAATGAAATTATTAATGAAATCTCGAATTTTGATTGTTACTTTAAAATAATGCGTAATTGTACACAGTATGTGGCAAAAGGCTCACCTCCTATTACATGGGACTCATAATATAAATAGTGAAAAGTGGGTGTTACATTACAGTGGCATTAAGTGCCGTAATGAGCAGTGTGATGTTATGTTACTTGGAAATAATTAATGGCTATAATCGATCTGACTATCGCGATTATTGTCGATTATGCTACCATTAACCAACAAAACAATTATTAATTATGTCTGTATGTGCGTAAGTAGGTACAGGATGTTTTTTAAAGGATGCGTTTCCGCGTCGCGGTGAGGCGGGATAGAGTATCAGACTCTTATTGACTAAAAACTACCTCGTTCCTACTCCTGCCCTTCGAGCCGGAGCCTTAGCAACCCGGTTCTCCGCGGCTCCGTATCGGCATCAACCCTATTGGGCCCCATCCGTGGTGGTCTGATGGCTTTATGTAAGTTCAGGATGCACTCATTGTTTTCCAAGCCAAATGAACTGATGCGATAGAGGGTATAAATATACAGCTAAAATTCTGGTACTGGAGCGTATTTCCGTTATTTTGTATTAGGCAAGAGTTAGAATTTTGATTACAGAAAATTCCATTGCAGTGTTTGGTCAAATTAGGAATTACCTACGCGTGATCTTTGAAAGAAAAACCTATCGCTTCATACATACAAAAGCTATGAAGAAACTGATGAGCTGCAGTTGTAATTTGGACCTTATCAACCAAGACAACAATCAAAATATCTTGGAACAACATTGTCACATCAACTTCTAAGAAATATGGTACAAAATCGAAGAAAATACAAAGTTTTCAACTTAAACCACAAACTTATCGCGATACTAAGAGACAATAGCGCCATTATTCCGCGCTGAGCGAGTTAACAATGAACCAACCGCTGATTAAGCGGTACTGGGCTGATCGTAAATTATTTTGTTCCTGCCTAGCCCTTTAAGGGAGAATCATAAATGTTCAGATACCCATTGAAAATTATTGTATTTTGCCCCGTTTTTGGTAGATATGGTGATGATTAAGTGGCTATTCGGAAATTATTATATTATTGCCTCTTATATTTAAATTGTCACCTAAAACTACGACAAAACAAATCTATATATATAAAAGAAAGTCGTGTTAGTTACACTATTTATAACTCAAGAAATCAATTTGGATGAAAATTTGTGGGGAGGCGGCTTAGAACCAGGAGACGGACATAGGATACTTTTTACCCAATTCTTTTTTTTTTTATTTTTTACCGAAAATCAAGAACGGGATCGGGAAATATCGGGATTGCGCTTACGAAGCGTGATCTTAATACTGTCTCTATTGATCTTAATGTGATATAAAACGTGGCGGTTATGATTGTTTGCGGCTCCCGCTGTACCGGCGGGCGCGGCCGCGGTACCGCGGTTGCGGTGGCTAGCACTAGCGTGCTCTGCGATCGGTTGGCGATCACAATTGGAGGGCCGGTCTGGAACTCAACTGACTGTTTAATTGCCCGCCCGTCTTGCGATAATCAACCGCTAAGTTTGCGATAATCACAACAGCAGTGGTCATACAAAACTGCGGTCTTGTGAGTTTTGAAAATTCCGCCTCCATTTAGACTCCGCGACGAGCGCGGGAGAAGATCGTGCCGTGTGTTCTTAGCTTTATACTTCCAGTAGGTCCGATTCGGAGTCGCGGAGACCCTAACGGGTAACCGGGGCTCCGGCTCGACGTGCAGGAGAAGGAACGGGGTGGTTTTTAGTCAGTAAGAGTCTGACACTCCCTCCCGCCTCATCCAGGCGGGAGCAGGCCATCAATGATTATCGCCCCTTAAAAAAAAATACTTTCAGTAAGTACAACTTGAAACAAACACTAAATACTAATTTCTCCTACACATTTGAAGTGAGCTAGTTATAATTATATGTTTATTAATAACGTGATAATAGCACCGTTAATACAGTCCCTAATTAACAGAGATTATAATCAGACGGCTACTTGAAATCAATTTGCTGAACCATTGAATCTCGATATAAATACCAGCATTATAGGACATCCAATCAACTAATAGTGTACTAAAGAGTTATATTTGGTTGTTGCATGATCTACCGATAGTGGAAAGGGCGAAGGTGCTGTATTTTGTAACCTGGGTAATACTAAAGACTATACGTTCTATGTTTGTTTAGACATCGTTTACATACGTCGAAGGAAAAATGGAACTTATAATTTGCCTTGAGAAAGTGGTTTTTTTATGGGATAAACCGGTAAACGAGCAGACGGATCACCTGATGGTAAGCAATCTGCATCGCCCCGGATTGTTAGGGATTCAGGGATTGGGCAAAAGGGGGGAGGGTAATTGGGCATCCGGTACCATCACTCACACGACAAAATACAATTTCGTTTCCCGTCAGTCTTCTGTGAGGCCGTGGTATCACTTCACACTTTGGTAATCGTTTTAAGAACATTCGCTTCAATAGGCACAAGTGCACATTACGGCACTTAATGCCACTGTTAAATGTAACACCCACTTTTCACTATTTATGTTACGAGTCCCATGTAATAGAGGTTGACCCTTTCGCCATATACCGGGCACAATTCCAGACACCGTGCTAGCACTGAGTATTTTTAAAAACCCAATAATACTTTGCCCGACCCGGGAATCGAAGCCGAGACCCCTTGCCCGGCAGTCGCACTTGCGACCACACGGCCAATGAGGCAGTCGGCCAGTGAAATAATAATCATATTATAAAAATTATATACTTTATCCACGAATCGACAATTAATCAACAAAAAGAATCGACATGATCGCACAAGTCTTTCCGACAAGCAATATTGAGAACGACATTTTAACATGCATACAATATTACAAAAGATAAATAGCGAATGTAAAGGATCGTTCCCATTGCAAAGTTAGTCGCAGCGATCGACGACACGTCACTTCGACATCGTACGTGAGCTGATTTATGCGTGGACTGAGGACACGGCGGTACGCGGCGATAAATATAATTGTGCCGCTCTGACCCACCCAAGGAGCGGGCTACGGCAAGTGCGTAAGGCTCTTTATAGAATGGAAAATGAAATAGTGTTTTAAATTTTAATTTTTTTTTGTATGTGTAATGTGTTTGCTTGGCTTGTTAACTGTGTATGTGTGTGTGTTAATAGGTTTAATAGATTACTTGAACTATTTCATAGTGGTTTAGTAAAAAACCGTTGGTCTAAAGAAATTCAGATTTTAATTAGTATAATTAACAACATAAAATCACGCCTTTTATCCCTGAAGTGGTAAACAGAGGTGCACATTACGGCACTTAATGCCACTACAATGTGACACCCACCTTTCACTATTTATGTTATGAGTCCAATGTAATAGGGGGTGAGCCTATTGCCATATGTATACCGGGTACAACGGAGTCTGGGTCCATGCAGGAATAATTTGTCCGACTCGGGAATTGAAACCGAGACCTCTTGCCTATTAGCATTTCCGACTACTCGGCAAACGAGGCAGTATTATTATATAATTCACCTTATTATTTTACAATTTCTCTCGATATTTATTGAATTACTGTTAGATGTCACATAATACAGGCAATCAATATATTCTTATAATCTTTCCTATTTAAAATTAAAAATAAAATATTTACACCAAACAAAATAATACTAAACAAAATTAGCATACAATATTTCCTCTATTTCATAAAAATAATACACTTTAAAAATATGAAGGAAATAGTGGAAAATACTGAAGTAATTCTCATTGTGTATAAGTTCCTACAAACAACTACAGATGTACTGCAGTCCACAGGCAATTGTACTGCAAGACAGTTACACCAACTAAAGGGGAAATGTGCAACAATATACGCACATAAGACATACCAAAAACATCTTTAACACAAAGGCATACAGACTAAATTGACAGCAAAGAAAACTTTGTAAAACTTACTCCGGACTGTTGTCGAACAATCTTGTATTTTATTTTGTTTATACGATTTTATAGTTTATTCTATATAAAATTAAATTCGAAATTCCATTGCGAAGGATCTTAATCTCAACCTTATTTTTTTCTACAAGAAAAATTACTACATGAGTTGCGAAAGATTTGATATCGTGTCCCGAAAAATTTGTAATATAATTAATCTGATAGATAAATATTATCTCATTAGCTAAGTACAAAGAATGTTGAGATACAAAGCCCAAAATATTTCACTAATCCCAAGTCAACATACAAAATAGAACACTTCTTTATTTTAGTAAACTAAACTACACAGAATTAAATTTAGATTCATTAATGTCAAAAATATATGCAAATCTTGTAGTGGCAGCCACTATTGAGCCCTCAATAATTCAAAATTAGATCAAGGACCATAATATAAAAATTAAAAATGTATTTATGCATCTTTTGCATGTATACATCAAGCTAAGTTAACATAAAATAATAATTAGAACAAGATAAATATGATAAATGCCAGTAAAAAGATATCATAACGCTATCCCAACACAAATCTTTGCAAGATCACAATCAAGTTTTCTAATTACAAACTATCAAATAATATCGTAATGACGCATTCAAAATTTAATATTTCATGATGATAAATCGTCTCATTTATTATCAGATTATTGGGCTATTATCAGTCCTATAGACATTTATCATAGGAGGTTAGGCAATCGCACTTAGTGCGTGTCTTAAAACCAAAATGAATTCCATCAATTTTATATTTCTTTTAACAATTTTAAGTTTTGCTAGTGCTGTGAAGGTAAATTATGATGGTTATAAGCTGTATAAAATTTCACTCAAGGATGATAGTGAAGTGCAAGTATTAGCCAAATTACAAGAGGCTAGGATCGGTGAGTTTTGGGAAGATGGCTTCAGAGTGGATAGAGATTCGAAGGTGATGGTATCACCACAGAAACATGAACAGTTCATTGAATTTCTGAGGACAGAAAACATTGAAGCATCGTTGCTGCTTGATGATGTACAAAGGTAAGCACTAGTACATTAAATAGTAAATGCAATCGAGTAAAGTTTTTGGGTACTAATTAAGGCTAGTGAGATGTGTGTCTTTGTCAATATTTATGCAAAGTACAGTGACCTGCAGATCCTATTCCAATGTGTAAAATGTATTTAAGGAAATTTAGATTTATTTCAACGCAATAAAGTTCGAGATGTAATGAACAAATTTTGCAAATAGGGTAACCTGCTGGCCAACGTACTAAGCATGAATGTGATATTATTTCTGAACCAATGACCAGCTTTTAGATTAAAAAAAACTTTCCCTTATTTCCAGAACAATTGACAAGCAACGTAATCCAGAAAACATAAATGCTTCCTCCAGTTACCTATCATACGACTGGACAGCTTACCATGATCTCGACACTCTATACAATTGGCTTGATGAACTCGAAGCACATCATCCAAATGTAGTCAAAACAGTAGTGATGGGGCAATCTGTTGAAGGCAGAGATATTAAGGGAATCGTTATAAACTATCATAACGATAATGCTGAAAGCGATTCTCATCCACTCATAGGAATGTTAGAAGGTACACTGCATTCCCGTGAATGGATCTCTGTTGCTACCGTTACCTGGATTATCAAAGAATTTTTGACCAGTGAAGACCCTGAGATCAGGCATTTGGCAGAGACCTTTGAATGGCATATCTTTCCTGTTGTAAATCCTGATGGATATGTTTATACTTTTACCGATGTAAGTATTCTTTTTTTTCAATCTTTAACGGGGACTCTTGTTTGGACAGCCTATTTTTTTCTTGTTATTATATTAATTAATCATTATTCACTCTGATATTCAGTGTCCTACGGAAAAAATATATATTATGAGTACAATAGTCACGTCAAATGTAGGATTAATTGATTAATTAATTATAAATACTATCTTTGGCACCTAATTAAGTGAATGGGCAATAATTCAATTTATTTGTTAAGGACTAAATACTTCAAGTTTTGCAAATATCGTAATGGAAATAATAATGTTATCCTTCTAATATTGTAAATGTGAAAGTTAGTGAGGATATATGAGTGTTTGTTCCTCTATCACGTCAAGACGGCTATAGGGATCAAAATGTAATTTGGAACAGCGGTTAGATATGATCTGGAATAACATACTTATGGGACACTTTGTATTTCCCGGGCACGCGGCCGAAGACGCAGGCAGAAGCGACCATACAGAAACAAAGTACCTACTTTCAAAACTAAATAAAATCGCATGTTATTCACGTAAATATACTGAGAAAAGCTCTACTAGTTTCGAATCACAGAGGGGTTCTTCCTCATGAGCAGCGTGCGCGGTCGCGGCGATGTCGCGCAGCTCACTAATGTGAGCGTTTTTCTCAGTGTATCAGTTAATTTAATATATCTCACGATAGTTATTATAAAGACCTACTTTCAATTGCATATTCTTCGTCTTACAGAATCGTATGTGGAGAAAAAATCGTAGTCCAGAAAATACAAAAACCTGTGCCGAAGGAGTTGACGATGATATGAGTCATGGTGTGGATCTCAATAGGAACTTTGAAGTTGAGTGGATGGGTAAGTGCGTCTAACATATTATCTAACATCGTTATGTTAAAAAGCGTGCATGATGTTACGTTTAACAGCACCCCTTTTAGCCCCGAAGATGTAGCCAGAGGTGCACATTACACTTAACGCCACTGTACAAAATAACACCAACTTTTCACTATTTATGTTATGAGTACAATATAATAGGGAATTAGCCTATTGCCATATAAATATATTTTACTCTGCTGTCACCACATATCATTGTGTCAATATTTATAACTGTCTACTATTGAAATATGTTACTGCTGCCTTGTTGGCCGAGTGGTCGCAATTGCGACTGCCCGGCAAGGGGTCTCAGGTTCGATACCCAGATCGGGCAAAGTATTACTGGGTTCATAAAATCTCAGTAGTAGCACGGAGACTGGAATTGTGCCCGGTATATTGCAATAGCCTCACCCTCTATTACATGGGACTCATAATATAAATAACACAGTGACAAGTGGGCGTTACATTGTACAGTGGCATTAAGTGCCGTAATGCGCACCTCTGTTACCCCTTCGGGGATAAAAAGGCGTGATGTTACGTTATGTTATATACTTACATATTTTTTTTTACTTTTCAGTTATAGGAGCTTCAAACGACTCGTGCACCAATACATACGCCGGTCCAATCCCCTTCTCCGAACCCGAATCAAGAGCAATTGCTCAATACGTTCGCCGTCTTGATCAAATAGGCAGATTGATCTACTACATTGCTTTCCATTCATACACACAACTGATTCTTGTACCGTACAGTCATGTCTACATTGAAAATGCATGGGAATCAAGAAACTACGCTGATATGGTACGTAGTTATTTTAAATCTTATTACATTCTAATAAGAAAGAAATTAGCAAGTTTGCCTACATTAATTTTGGATAGGTTTTCTTGCATCCAATTTTAAACTGTGATCTTCAAGCATTGCCTGCCTGCACTGCCTCATTGGCCGAGTGGTCGCAATTGCGACTGCCGGGCAAGGGGTCTCGGGTTCGATTCCCGGGTCGGGCAAATAATTACTGGGTTTTTAAAAATCTCAGTAGTACCACGGAGTCTGGAAAAATGTGCCCGGTATATGGCAATAGGCTCACCCCCTATTACATGGGACTCATAACATAAATAGTGAAAAGTGGGTTTTACATTGCACAGTGGCATTAAGTGCCGAAATGTGCACCTCTGCCTACCCCTTCGGGGATAAAAAGGAGTGATGTTATGTTATGTTATGTTTATCTTCAAGCAGTGCTTGGATTTCGTCAAACTTTTTTTTTGTTGTAACTATCTTTATTAGCCCACTAACAATTGTATACATAAGTAAATTAAACAAAAAATAACATATCTATATAAAACATGTTTGTATTGTCTAATGACAAAATAGCTGTGAACGTGGTGTATAAGGACATTTTGTAGTAGGTATTTTTACATAAGTATTGCACCCGTGCGAAGCCGGGGCGGGGCACTAGTAAACTTATAATTAGAAATTATAAGTCTAGGTTTCCTCACTATGTTTTCCTTCACCGTTTGTCAGTGGTGTCTAGATAATCTTAGAAAGTACATATAACTCGGAAAAAGTCACATTGGTACTTGTCGTTGGTAGGTTTGGAACCCGCACCCTCATGCATGAGAAGCGGGCGTCTTAAACCTCTGGGCCACCACGACACTATAGTAATAATACATGTCCAGAAATAAACAGTATCTAAGGAGGTCATTCTATAGAGTTTTTAAAATAACCCAATGTGTTGCTTTCAGTACGAAATTGCAATCAAAAGTGCTGACGCTATAGCAAAACGGTACGGTACACAATACAGAGTGGGACTTTCTGCTAATGTCATGTGTAAGTATTACTTTATATTAAACTAGCTTCTGCCCGCGACTTCGTACGCGTACCATCCCATTTTTTCCCGTCCCCGTTAGTGATTTTCGGAAAAAAGTAAAAAAAAAAATTGGTTAAAAAGTATCCTATGTCCGTCTCCTGGCTCTAAGCTACTTCCCTACCAATTTTCAGCCAAATCTATTCTGCCGTTCTTGAGTTATAAGTGGTGTAACTAACACGACTTTTTTTTATATATATAGATTTTAACCGACTTCAAAAAAAAGCGGCCTCGTTGGCCAAGTGTTCGCAAGTGCGACTGCCGGACAAGGGGTCTCGGGTTCGATTCCCGGGTAGGGCAATGTATTAGTAGGTTTAAAAAAAAAAACTCAGTAGTAGCACGGAGCCTGCAATTGTGCCCAGTATATGGCAATAGGCTCACCCCCTATTACATGGGACTCATAACATAAATAGTGAAAAGTGGATGTTACATTGTACAGTGGCATTAAGTGCTATAAGGTGCACCTCTGTCTACCCCTTCGGGGATAAAAGGTATGATGTTATGTTGTCAAAAAAATAGGTTTCCAGTTTGATCTGTGTATTTGTAGGTACTTAGGTATGTTTTTGACATAACAATGATTACGTCGTGAATGGTGGCAACGAACCAAAAACTTAAAAGTTGAAGATGTTAAAATTAAATAATTATTAAATGCGGGTTTGGATCCATGTCCAATAACGCAACATTCAATCAACCAAACACAACAGCTCCAATCGACAGTCAAACTTAGCTGAAAAGACAAAAACCATTGTAAATAGTACTAAAAATTATTCGGTGCAAATTAACTTTAAGTGTGGGAGAGCCACGCTTCGGCTCGAAAGGACCGGCTCGACCGGAGTGATACCACGGCCTCACAAAAACCGACGTGAAGCAACGCTTGCGTTGTGTTTCGTCATGTGAGTGAGGTTACCGGAGGCCCAATTACCCTCCCCTTCCCCAATCTCCCCAATTCCTGAATCCCCAACGATCCTCAAACTCCTAATCCCCAAAAGCCCGGTAACGCACTTGTAACACCTCTGGTGTTCCAGGTGTCCATGGGCGACGCCGATTGCTTACCATCAGGTGATCCGTCAGCTCTTTTACCGGATTATGCCATAAAAAAACTATTTTTTTCGTGTAATTATCCTTTATTTTTTTTATTTTAGATCCCATGAGTGGAGGCTCCTTCGACTGGGTAAAGTACGATGTGAACGTTCCTATATCGTACCTCATTGAGCTTCGTGACCTTGGGGAATATGGGTTCCTTCTGCCAGCAGACCAGATCATCCCTACTGCTTTGGAGACTATGGATGGTCTCATCGAAATGGACAAGAACACCAAAGCCCTGAATTATTATTAAAATTAAATTCAAAAGTCAACGTCAAAATCATTTATTTCAATTAGACCAGGAAGGCACTTTTGAACGTCAACACAAAATATTTAAATATTAAATAATAAGAAAAAATGTCAGTCTGTAGGTCAGTCTAGTGAAGCTATTTGCTCGTTCCAAAATGAAGATTCCTATGGAGAAGAACGAGCAAGAAACTCCATAGTACTTTGGAAATAATATATAGTACTAGCGGACCCGACAGACGTTGTCCTGCATATCCACTTGAATGTACCTCTATAAACAAAAAATTATTCACATTAGTTCAGCCGTTTAGGATAACTAACCTACACAACGACTGCAGCGCCATCTGCCGGGCTGATTTGTGAATCTAAACCATGTCCAGATCCCTTTGAACACACACAAAAAATTTCATCAAAATCGGTCCAGTCGTTTGAGAGAAGTTCAGTGACATACACACTCACAGAAGAATTATATTTATAAAGATGTATATCGAATATATGTATTAAAAATATACATCACATCGCTCACGAAGAAGGTTTATCACCACGGATAATGAAGCATACAATAAGGAAGCATTTATCACCACGTCTGTTCAATGCGGATTGGTGATTATAAAGTTATAATTAAAAAATATGAGCCCATGTTTTCTTACGATGTTTTTCTTCACCGTTGGTCAGTGGTGTCTAGATAATCTTAGAAAGTACATAAAATCGGCAAAAATCAGATTAGTACTTGCCATTGGTAAGATTTAAACCCTCTTGGCGTCTTAAACCTCCGGGCAAGTATTGAGGCAATCTTTGAATAAAAGTTAAATAAATTAGGATTATACATTATAAAAATTATTCAATTCATTTAAAATTAAGGACAAGATTTGTAATATTTATTTATTTAGTTAGACTGAACTATTTTTTTGTATAATAAATTATTATGATTCGTAAGCGTTCGCAATTAATTATTTACAAATAAAATTAACTTACTAAAGTATTCAATTTATTTATGAACACCCACGGCATCAAATAATGGAAATGAAACTGCTGACGTGGGAGATGATGGTGGTGAAAAGCTTCTTTACCTCCAACCCCAATCTCCAAATCAACCGTCAAATCCCTAATTCCAATAGGCCGGCAACGTATTTGTAACTCCCCTGGTATTGCGGGAATCCATAGGCGGCGCCGATTGCTTACCATCAGGTGATACTGGTGATATGTTTACTTCAACTGTGTAAGTCAACTTGTATATTTGTAAACACACTCACGACACAGGAGAAAATCCTAGTGTGGGACAACGTGTTAAAAGAAAAATATAACTTCTATTGATTTAAAATAAAAAATTTAGTACACGTCTTTTGTTACGTGCTAACGCATGATACGATGGAGATGATAATGAGAACTAAAATGAAACGACGGTTGAAAGTGACAAATAACGACTGACTTTCTTTTAAATTATAACAACAAAAAAATAACATAGACAAACACAGACAAGGACTTTTGTTTATGACATTTCTAACCCGGTTACACATCTTATCAATAGAAGGCAGTGGCATATTAGGTACTAGCTACTTGCGCGCAGTTTCACCAGCTCTGCTCGGCTCCTATTGATTGTAGCGAGATGTTTTATAGCATTTAGCTTACTCGATAAATGGACTATCCAACACAAAAAGAATTATTTAATTCGAATCAGTAGTTGCAGAGATTAGTGCGTTCAAACAAACAAACACAAAACAAACTCTTCAGCTTTATAATATTAGTGTAGATTAATTATTTTGATGCATTACAACAAGAACTAGTTTTTTCCTGTAGATTAACATACGCAAGTGTAACTTTAATAATATACTTATAGTAAAATGTACCTAGTTAATTGTGTTTAACCTCATGTGGCTATTTGAGGTTATCTACGGACCAGCCAGATAAAGTGAATATAATCTAATCAGGGCTTAATCAATAAATTACTACTTAAACATATTTTTTATATCTTAAGAAGCAACCATCGTTTTGAAATTGCAATAGCTAATGTCCATTAGAATAAAATATTGTAAAATTCCTAACGTAAGAAAATAATTATGTGAACCAAATATTAGCAAAATGCATCACATACTAGAATTTCGAGATGCCTTAACCGTATTGTTTCTAAACCACATTACAAAACGTACAAATGCATTGGCTCTAATAAAATAACTTTTATGCAATACGCCTTTTTAAGAAGCCAATGTTAAAAAACAAGAATTATTATCAAATGTAGATAACTTTGATAATAACAATGATGAATTTAAAAAAAAATTATAAACGTTCCGCCATAAATATTTATTAGCATGGACTAACTCCCAAATATGGATTGTAAAATAATAAAACTATTTATCAATAAGCATACAATAAAACAGATAAGGACACGATTAATTATAATTCCAATGATTATTTACACAAATCATTATACAGGTGACGCGTGGAGGAAGTATACGCGATGATTTTAAAAGAAATAATATTTTTAGTAGTTCTAGTTGCTGCAGTAAATGCAGACTATGTTTCGTATAAGAATTATAAAGTGTACAAAATAGTCCCTAAGAACGAAAATGAAGTCCAAATACTTCTGGACTTAAGAAAACAACCTCAATATTACTTTTGGAATGATATTGTAAGTCTATACAGTGATGTGAAGATAATGGTAGCACCGAAGAATCAAGAAGAATTTGAGAATTACTTCAAAAGTATTAATATACCTGCTGAAGTCGTTTTCAATGATGTCCAAAAGTAAGTACAACTACGTTTATCTTAGCGTTCGAACGAGTTATACTCCTAAGCGATAGGTATTTTTGATAATTTAAAAAAATATATTTTGTTAAGTGATGAACATGAACCTAGTGCTGTATACTTCACAACCTTTAGCGGTCCAAAATTGATACCTTCTGACCGTAAGTCATATTTGATAATAAATAAAGGACCCTTTTAAACTCTTATTTCATTTTACATCAGACTAATCGACGATCAAGTAAAACGGCCAGTTAGAAGAAATGTAGTATATGATTGGACCTACTACCTAACCTTAGATGAAATCAACGCCTGGCTGACCAGAATCGTAGAGGAGCATTCAGATGTAGCCACTCTCGTGAACCTTGGAACTTCTGTTGAAGGTCGAACTATCTGGGGTGTTAAAATTGACTACAAAAAAGAAGAGAACCCAGTAATTGGTATGATTGAAGGTGGTATTCACTCAAGAGAATGGATTTCTCCAGCAACAGTGACGTACATTATCAACGAGTTTTTAACCAGTACCGATGAAAATGTTAGGTTCATGGCAGAAAATATTGTTTGGCATATTTTCCCTGTTGTCAACCCTGATGGATACTATTACACTTTCAACAATGTAAGTTTAAATTGGTATTAGTACAATAATTTGAACCACCTTTATATCAAAACTTAAATGATTTGATATGAATTTTCTTTTATATTTCTTACAGAACAGAATGTGGAGAAAGAATAGAGGCAAGGATAATTTTACACCTTGTGCAAATGTAGCAGACGATATAAGCAATGGTATCGATTTGAACAGAAACTTCGGATTTGTATGGATGTGTAAGTAAATTATAATAATGTATGTATCATCGTCAATATTATCAACCATAAAACATCTACTGTTAAACATGGGCTCTCTGTGACTTCCAGATTGACTGGTTGAAAGTGGCTTGCATCAAGGAGACCTTTACTAAATAAATGTCATAATATAAAAAGAAAGAAATAATTCAACCCCCCTTTTTTCAAGTTCGTTAATTAGAATATTAAAACTTTCTTCTAAGCGTAACAAACACTTATCAGTTGAGCCAATCGCGAAATTATCGCGATTGGCCAACCATACATACGTCCACGCAGGTATATAACTGAGAATCTAATTTTCGTAATAACCATTTTCTGACACTACAATAAATTCCATTACAGTAACTGGTGCCTCCCAGAACCCTTGCGCTGAAACCTACGCCGGTCCCTCTGAATTTTCGGAGCCTGAATCTAGAGCCATATCCAATTATGTTTTGTATATCAAGAATCAAGGCCGTATGATCTATTATTTCGCTTTCCATTCCTATTCTCAAATGGTATTGGTGCCCTACAGTCATCTTTCTGGATATGATGTTATTAACGCTCCTAATTATGCTGATATGGTGCGTCTTTCTACTTTTATTTTTGTCTTTTACTTTTATCCTTACCTCTTTTAATTTTTTAATATGCTTTTTTTAATTTTGTGATATGATTGCACGGTTGGCGCAGTAGCTGGGCAACGTGTCGCGGGTTTGATTCCCGCTCGGAACAATTCTTTGTGTAATTCACAGATTATTGTTTCCGGTCTGGGGGTCATGTGTATATGAACTTGTATGTTTGTAAACGCACCCACGACAAAGGAGAAAATCCTAGAGTGGGGCAACGTTTAAAAAAAATCATTTGCCTGTAGTTTTTTCAGTAAAATTGTCTTTAATTCTTTCAGTATGAGATTGCCATCCGAGGTATGGACAAATTGAAGGCTAAACATAACACCGACTACCAAGTTGGTACATCGGGTGATATTTTATGTAAGTACCAATAAACTGTAGGATTTGATGTCCATTACAAATATTCTCTTAATTTTTTTTATACTATATTAAACTGTCAAACACCAAGCGGTCACCGGTGACCGCGACCTATTGTTCTTTAATTGTGTCTATAAAACCGGTACTCGACGAGTTAATTGAAACAAATGGTTCAGTTACGTGAATGAGTCATCTGCATACGTTGCTCATAAATAAGAAAATCTTGTAAGAGTTTTAAGAGTGACTTGCAACTAGTAGAGCTTTTTATTTTCTAACGACAAATTATTATACAAAGATTTTTATACGTAATTAACTTCATTTATGTGTGGGAAGCCATGCTACAGCACGGAGTATAGAGATACAACGGCCTGACAGGGAACCGACGTGAAACAACACTAGCGTTGTGTTTCGTCGTGAGAGTGAGGTTATCGGAGGCCAAATTACCCTTCCTCCCAACAACCCTCAAATTCCTAATCCCAAAAGGCAAGAAACACCTTTGTTGTTTCGGATGTCCACGGGCGGCGCCGATTATATACCATCAGATGATCCGTCTGCTTGTTTACTGGCTTACTCCATAAAAACTTCAACCTTGTAGTTTACAAGTATACTTACAATGATTCCTCTTTCAGATGAAGTAAGCGGCTCCAGCTTCGATTGGGTGAAGGGGGTAGCCGAAATTCCTATCGTCTATCTCTTCGAGCTTCGTGATGTCGGTGAGTTTGGGTTCCTCCTGCCGGCAGAACGTATCATTCCTAACAATGAGGAAATAATGGCTGGTCTTCTGGAAATGGAAAGAGTTACACGAAATATGGGATATTATAATATCCAGAATGAGTCTGAACCTGCCACTTTACCAACTACCGTTGAACCTTCTACTACAGCAGCTCCTGGTTCTGGAATGAAAACAGTTTTCAGTGTTTTCCTAATAGCACTTTGTCTGTTTGTCACTTTGTAATGTAATACACTTAATCAATAAAACCTTTACATACTGTTCGATTTGTGTTTAAATGAGATTTATTTTGATGGTCATCTGTAGTATATACCTATTTAGAAACAATATACAAGTACAAGTAAAATGAGACTCATCAAATTTTTGAAGTGTGTTAAAAACGTATACACACTGCTTGTTTGTTGTCGCTGAATCAACGTGATAATCAGTAAAATCGAAAGAAGCAAACCTACAAGGTCATAAAACAAACATACATACATACAATATTACATTAAATAACATAACATCACGCCTTTTATCCCTGAAGGGTACAATGTTACACCACCTTTTTACTATTTATGTTATGAGGCCCACGTAATAGGGTGAACCTATTGCCATATAACCATACAACAATTCCCGACTCCGTGCTACTACTGAGATTTTTTTTAATAACCCATTAGTACCTACTTTGCCCGACCCGAGAGTCGAACCTGAGACCCTTTGCCGCCGAGTCGCACTTGCGACCACTCGGCCAATGAGATAGAGACAACAATATTAATATCTCTTGTATTCCAAATTTTAATTACTACCTACCTCTTGATATTACATATCATCTGTAATAAAAACCCCAAATTTAAAAAATTCTCAGTAGTAGCACGGAGTCTGGAATTGTGCCCGGTATATGGCAATAGGCTCACCCCCTATTACATGGGACTCATAACATAAATAGTGAAACGTGGGTGTTACATTGTACAGTGGCATAATGTGCACCTCTGCCTACCCCTTCGGGGATAAAAGGCGTGATGTTATGTTGTTATGTTATGTTAAAAACCCTGCCTCTAAGAGAGAAATGTAAACAATCATAAATGACTTTAGTCGTCTCAATGTGACGCGTCGCTGAAGTCGTGTGTCACGTCATGACGTCACACACACAAATCATAACTTACGACTGTTGAGTTAGCTAGAGCAAGTTATGGAGTCGTCAAAGATCATACTTAGAGTTTTTACGGAATAAGCAGACAATTGAGTGGGTAGATCATGTTAGCGCTGCCCATGGATACCTGAATGTATGTCGTGGTGGCCCGGAGCTTTAAGACGCCCGTATCATGAATGAGAGTGCCGGTTCGAAACCTACCAACGGCTAGTACTAATGTGACTTTTTCCGAGTTATATGTACTTTCTAAGATTATTTAGACACCACTGACAAATGGTGAAGAAAGACATCGTAAGGAAACCTGGACTTATAATTTCTAATCATAAGTTTGAAATCGCCAACCCGCATTGAGCAAGCGTGGTAATTAATGCTCAAACCTTCTCAGTTTGAGAAGAGGCTTTGCTCAGCATTGGGCATTTAATGGCTGTTGTTGATGGACACCTGAAACGCCAGTGTAATGTGGAGTTACAAATGCAGTGCTGGCATCACCTAATCTTCTAATCATTGCCAAGTTTCATGATGTAACTAAAAAGACGAGTAACTCACTTGAATATAATGAGAAAAGCTCTACTAGTTTCGAACCACAGAGGGGTTCTTCCTCATGAGCAGCGTGCGCGGTCGCGGCGACGTCGCAGCTCACTGACTACTAACTAGTAGAGCTTTTCTCAGTATATTCACGTGAGTAACCCGCAATTTTACTTGATTTAGTATGTCTCACGTTAGTTATTATAAAAATAATAATAGAAGTTGTGTAGTTCGGATTCTTAGTCTTATTACATAGTTCATCAAAGATCAAATGAATAAAAGCGTATTAGTAAAATAAACCTGCAATACAAATAATAAGTTTATTACATTCAACACTCCACACATTACTCTGTTAACAGTACATATTCAATTTATATGATAATATTTGGTAATGATCCCCTTTTTATTGTTTTCTTCTCAAACGTAGCGTAAAATTAACCGATTCCTGTGATAGACATCATAATATACACTTACATGAATGGTTAATATATTACATCGCGACTGCATTCGCCATGATGTGAAAAAGTTATTATTTCTGACTTCTGTATACAAATTCTCGTCTTAACGCCGTGGTAGCCTGAAGGTTAAGATACCTGCTTCTCATGCATGAGAGTTGGGAACCTGACATGTACTTATGTGACTTTTTCCGCATTGTGTACTGTATGTTTAGACGCTTTTTTTATGAAATAGGAGGCAAATGAGCACTCGGATCACCTGATGGTAAGCGATGAGCGCCGCCCATGGACCTACACCTACAACACCAGAGGAGTCACAGGTGTGTTGCCGGCCTTTTAAAAAGGAGTACGCTCTTTTCTTGAAGGTTTGAAGGTCGTATCGGTTCGGAAATACCGCCGACGACAGATCGTTCCACAGTTTTTGGAACGAAATTGATACACGATGAAGGAAATCACTATGTGGAAACCTAGACATATAATTTCTAATTATATTCTAGGTACAGATCACATCTAGTTAAGAGCTCGACTAGTTTCAAGCCACACTAGAGGCTCATATTCATGAGTAGTAATCCGCGACACGCGACTTGCGCTGCTGTCATGAATATGAGCCTCTAGCATGGTTAGAAACTAGTCGAGTTTCTCATCAAATAATTAATTTAGTATCACTATATAGGATCACATACAAATGCCCTCATAATTATGACAACTTCCAAGGATCGCATCTTATGCAGGGAGCCTTAAGCAAACGTCTCTTATAGTTCAATCATAAGGATTAGTTGTCAAATCATAAGAGCAATACTGATGAAGTGCACTCCGCAACAGCTGCAAACAAAAAAGTCACCGTTACAAATATAAACTAACAAATTGCACGTTAAACTTAAAAGAAGTAAAACTAAATTCTAAAATAAGAATCAGGACACCCCATTCAACCCTTCTTCACATTCATCAATCATTTGAAAGTCGTTAATGAGTTAAACTGAACATTACTTGGAACCAATTTGTAAAGAACCAACATAACTAGGTCTGCCACCACCAAGACAATATACAAACCGAAAGACACAACTTAAACTGGTGGTGCAGTTTAAAGAGAACCTGCTGCTTATGAAGGTTTACGATGTCGGAAGCTCTATATAAACTGGTTATATTGTTAGTTAAAAATAACTTAATAACACAGTTAATGTCCAAACGTATTATAATACTAATAAATAACTGGCACATTCGTTTATAGGCGCTTTAAAATTTTATGTGGCACCTTTTTGGTGTTCTGGGGTTCAGTAAGACAATATAAATGAATTTTATGATAGCCTCGTTGACTGTTAACAGATGGAGAAAAAATCTTATTTAAATTCATTGGTATGAACTGTTTTAAAATTACTTAACTTATTTGTCATAAGCCGGTAAATTAGCAGACAGATCACCTGATCTGAATGAGTCTGTGGACCATGGACAAGATTTCATTTCATTATTAATTTCATTTTTAATTTTTTTAGCTTTTATTTTATTTTTTAATTATGTTATGTGTGTTCTGCGCAAAAATAAATGGTTTTTCTTTCTTTTTTCTTCTTTCTGATGGTACGCAATCGGTGCCGCCCATGAACACCCGAAAACCTAGAAGTGTTACGAGTACGTTACCGGTCTTTTGGAAATTAGGAATTTGAAGATGATTGAGGATTCATGGATTTGGTGAGATTAGGGAGAGGGGCAATAGGGCCTCTAGTAACCTCACTCATACGACGAAACACAATGCAAGCGTTGCTTCACATCGGTCTTCTGTGAGGCTGTGGTATAACTCCGGTCGAGCTGGACCATTCGTGCCGAAGCATGGCTCTCCCACACCTAAAAAATAATTATTAATTCTCTACCTATTGAACTTTGATTTCGAAAATTCTCAGAAATAGGATAAAATCTAAAGTCTGGTATAAAGGTATAAACCCACCTATCAGTTACAATATCAATCTTATTGTAATGAATGACATATCCATGTTTTTTGATGATAAAAATATAAATTCTTCATATTATCCTTGATGATTATTTTTCAAAACAAAAATATAATTAATTGGTTATATTGTCGTAATCAGAGAGACTGCCTCGTTGGTTAGGTGGTCGCAAGTGCAAAGGGTCTTGGGTTCGATTCCCGGGTCGGGCAAAATATTATTAAGTTTGTAAATAAATCTCAGTAGTAGCACGGAGTCTGGAACTGTGCCTGGTATATGGCAATAGGCTGGTGAGCCTATTGCCATATATGGGGTGCCATATTATAAGGGACTCATAACATTAATAGTGAAAAGTGGGTGTTACATTGTACAGTGGTATAACGTGCACCTCTGCCTACCCCTTTGAGGATAAAACGCGTGATGTTATGGATAAAAAAAAATATAAAAATAAATCTTGTCTATCAGAGGCTGCAACTTATGAGTTTGTTATGTCTACTCAATCTACTCAGTAGACCAAGTAGACGAAATTGTAGGACATAGAGGATAAAGTCGAGTCAGTAGACTGAGTTGACTTTATCCTCAATGTTTTACTATATTGACGAAGGTAATACCAAGGACGTTGAAAAAAAAAGGCTGATATAAAGTCATATAGAAACGATTAAAGCACTATAATATCAGTGGATTATTTATGTGTGCGTGTGTAATGGGTTACCGTACCCTTGGTGTCAATGTGTTTGTGTTCTGCGTGTAAGTCTATAGTAGCCAGGTGCACAGTCGTTATTTCATGAGACTATATCCATCTTTTTTCAACATCCTTGGGTCATACATAATTATTTTGTAACTACCAAATTTAATTTATTTATTAACCAAAAACACTTTAAAAAAAAATCGTCTGCAGAACCCTTCCCAATTTCATAGAGATAAATATAATCTATTAATACTGTATTGTAAAAACCAGATTATTTGTTATAATTATTATTTTAGAAGTGACCATCAAAGTCTATGAGATAGTGTACCGGATCTCATTTTCTATAGTTATATTTCGACTGAAAATTATGATGTACGATGTTCTAAACTGGGAATGTTTTTATACCGATATTATAGTGATAAAAATAAACAAAATGTGTTTGTTTGTTATCCCCATAGATCAACACAAGCCACCGGCGGACTGGAGTGCTC